ACACACACTCACACACACACACACACACACACACACTCACACACACACACACAGCTGCTGTCCTTTGGCTGTGGTACAGGCCTCTAAACGGGTTTCCGTTTATGTGAAGAGACTAAAACCTGATGAATAAACTGGCTGATCCATCTATTTATGAAGGTTAAAGGTCAACATGTCCTAACAGGAGTCTGGATTATGAGATGGACTAAAAATTCAAACAGTCAGATGACCGATTAACAGAAGGAATAAGAGCCAGACTTTGAGTGTGAGTCAGTGTTGACGGAGTTAAACGAGCTTTGAGCCACAGATGTGCAGAAAAGCCCAGAATCAAGCTCTTATTTATGGTCGGTGGGGGCGAGATTAAACGAACACACACTTCCTGTTTCCTTAAATATTAAAAACAAAAACATGTGAATGGTGAGAATCCAGCAGCTGGTTTATACCAGCCTGTCACCTGAACTGTAAACAGGAAACTAATACGAAGGGTTTTTTTTACGGTCATGTGGTCAATGCGGCCCACTTACCGCCTCCAGCTGGGCCCACGTTCATCCACAGGAAGGGCAGAAACAAAAAGATCCAGGTCTTTGTGAAATTCATGATTTTGATGCGACAAAAATCTTCAGAAAAACAGAAACCTGCTCAGAACAAGCCCACGGTCCCTGCGGGTTGCTATGATCATTATTATTATTATTACTGCTGCCGCCTGTAGGGGGCGCTACAGACGACTAGCTGCCTCCATTTACACCCGCCTTCTTCACACCAACAGCAGCCAATCAGATAACTAGTCTGCGGTTGCTGGGTAGATTACATGATACAAGGTTAGAGCCGCCGAAGAGTGCGGTGACGTCACAGCGTTGAGAAATTTGTAGCTGCTGCCAAAGTGCCTGACCCTAACCCTGTAACATGAATCCTGCTGCTGACCTTCACTTCTGTATGTTTGTCACCCACAAACACTCTAATCACTAAAATCTGTAAAGAATAAACAAATAAGGACTTTTTAATAAAGTTTACTTCATGATAAACACTTAAAACACTGTTAGAGCTCTACAGAT